ATTGCCTTGTCGGTTTCGTATTTTTTCGTGGTTTCCTGTATCCTGTCATTTTCCTGACGAAGGAAAGGTCTTGCGATGAGAAGCAATGTTTTATTATTAGAAATATGATCCCGAGTTTCCTTTCATTTTTACGCAGTGCTCTGTGTGTTTTACCTATGTATGACGTTATGGTATCAGTCTTCCCAGGCACACTTTGCTTTAGTTTTAAAAGTAAATTATTTTTTTCATTTTCGTGTAAGAAGTAACAAGCTGACGCCAAACCTTTACTTTTTCATCTCATGTAACAGGCACATGCAGGGTTTTCAAACTAAAATATTTTTTAGTCTAAGGCAGAGACATGGCTGGGGTAGCGCTAGCAACTTTTTTTGCTTAGCCGTATACCCACATTTTTGTCAATTTGTTATCAAAATGGTTATAATTTGGCTAAAACATGTCAAATCAAGCCCTTTTTTCTTTAGCCAATTAAAGTCAGTTTTAACATTTGGCTAAATTGGCGAGTGCTAGTGCTACCCCAGCATGGGCTTAAAATGTCTGAATACAGTAATGTCGTCACATCGAGGTGTTATTAACGGTGTCTTAAGCCAGTCAGAATGCTCCCACAGTCCAACTAAAATGTTGTCACACTTAGGCATTATCTACGGTTTGATTTAAGCCAGTCTGAATGCTCCTACTGTTCGACTAAAATGTTGTCACACTTAGGCATTATGTGCGGTTTGATTTAAGCCAGTCTGAATGCTCCCACTGTCCAACTAAAATGTTGTCACACTTAGGCATTATCTACGGTTTGATTTAAACCAGTCTGAATACTCCCACTGTCCAACTGAAATGTTGTCACACTTAGGCATTATCTACGGTTTGATTTAAACCAGTCTGAATACTCCCACTCGTGACTGTCCAAGTAAAATATTGTCACACTTAGGCATTATGTGTGGTTTGATTTAAACCAGTCTAAATGCTCCCACTGTCCAACTAAAATGTTGTCACACTTAGGCATTATGTGCGGTTTGATTTAAACCAGTCTGAATGCTCCTACTGTCCAACTGCAATATCATCACACCACAAGTGTAGCAGTTTAATTTAGGCTGAATGCATCTTTAAGCTTCTTTTGTTATTTTATCAGTGACAGCAGTTTAATTTTAGCCAGTCTGAACGCACCTTCAAGCCTCTGTTGTTGTTTTATCAGTGAAAGAACACATGTTTGACCTGAGGTTGTTGTCCTCAGGCCTGTCAGTACAGCTCACGGTACAACTGTTTTATCTACCTGGCCACGTGTTGACCTGGTGGCTTATCAACGGGACACTTGGGACAGAGGTATTCTCTCCCTTATATCTTATCTAAATGGAGAGGAAGCTGTGAGGTTCATTTAGGGGAGGGGGGAGACAGGAAAAAATTCTGTATTCTTATCTAAATAAGGTGGATGTTTTGGGGGGGGGGTGGGAAGAGGGGAAGCAGAAAAAAAACTTTCAATTTTTCCTTATTCAAAATGAGTGAAGGCTGTGAGCTGGGGTAGCTCTAGCAATTTTTTTCCCTTAGCCAAATCACCACTTTTTTGTCAATTTGTTATCCAAATGGTTCTAATTTGATTAAAATTAGTCAAATCAAGCCCTTTTTGTTTAGCCAATTTTAGTCAGTTTTAGCATTTGGCTAAATTGGCGAGTGTTAGCGCTATCCCAGCTGTGAGGTGCACTTAAAAGGGGGGGGGGGGAAGGGGGAACTAGTATTCTTTCCTTATTCAAATCAGTAAGTGGAGAACAGGCTGTGAGGTGCACTTGAAGGGAAAAAGGGGACAGGAGGAGCTGGTATTCTTGGTAAAGCTGCAAAAATTCTGGTCTTAAGTTGAGGCAAATTTACATGCTGAAGTCCTTTTTGGAACAGACCCAAGGTATTTTTAGTTTTTCTCATCATAAAAGGGGATGGAATTTGGTCATTGTTTGAAGGCAAATTTATTCTCCACTTCTTATTGATTGGTATTAAAGGAGACGGATGGATATCTGGCTGTGTTTCCAGTTCGCTTTATGGCTTGCCATAGTTAGTGCTATTTAAACAGTAAAATTAGTCTGCTACTCTGCAAGTGTGGATGAGATAAATTTTGTGGCGTTAGATTGAGGCATACAGTAAGAAAACATAATCACATCACATCTTGAGAAAGAATGCACTAAGTTGGGCTGTCACAAATTGACTTGGAATGCGCCCTATCCGTATTGTTCCTCTGACGTTTCTCTTTGCGTAGACTAATCAATGAGGGGCTATAACTTATTAAAAAGCTACATGTCCTTGACTTCTGATAATTGAAAATGTCTATCTAGGTTTCTGTAGGCTGCAAAGATGGGGGAAACCTCAGAAGATGTGATTTTTTTATTTGACGTAACCTCCTTAGTTTTGCATGCGTAGGCAGTCCTAATATGAAAATAGACTGTGTTTAAACTGAGAATGCAGTTATTGGCGTTCCCATATAAAAGATGGGATTGAAAGAGAAAAAAAAAAGATGTAGATTAAGTGGTATTTAATGGCAGAAGCTGAATGTACTTTAACAATGGTGGGGCTTGTTTGTTTGAGAGAGAGAGGGAGAGAAAATTTGGATTAAAAACACGCCTACTTGTATTGATTTATTTATGATTCAAGGAATTTGTCATTGGCTGCTGTATTGGAGTATTGAGATAAATTTGATAGGAGGTTCATCTTTTCTTTACTTTTTTGTTATAAAACAAGCGTAATTTTTCTTACAGGACTGTTACTGATTCACCTTGGTTCAAAGTAGATAGAATTTTTTTTTTTTGTTTTACTAAAAGATTTGACCAATATCGGTCCGAAGTTTTCTTGTGTAAACAGGCTGCTGCCCCACATCAGCTGTTGCACACCAGTGCCAGCAGTGTGTAGGGTGTCTGGTTTGAGACACCAGCTTGGGGTTGACGGTAGTTAGTAGCTAGATCAATATAGACAAATTTGAATTACTATATTTTCTTTATCAGAGTAAATCTAAGTGATAAAAATAAATTGTAGTTCAAGAAAAAAAAAAAAACTTTGAAAGAAAGATGTTCATGTGAAAACATTTTGAGCAATTAAAATTGATAAACGTTGAAAACAATGAACTAGAGGTGTTATAAATCTTTGAGAAATTATCGTATCAGGGCACCAGTACATTAACCTTGCATCCCCTCTGACCCTGTGATAAACTAAATATATATATATATTAGAATATAGACAATGGGTCCTAATTGATATATTTATAATATATCTATTGCCAAATCCGCTATAACACATTCAACATATAGACGTGGCCGTCAGTGAAAAAATGATATATCGTCACTGAGACTGTTGTCTTCTACAGCCTTGCCACTTAGTATTAATTAAGATGCTTAAAAGGAATCTTTTTCCACACAGCACATTTGGGGCAAGTGTCACAAAGGAATTTTAGCTCTAGAATTGGTTTAAACTCTTACTTAGGTCACAAAATGAGTAGTGTCTGTACTTAAATAAAGTAAATAATTGGTCTGAATTTCTTTCTTGTAATTAAACAGGCACAATTATCCCAATGCTGAATTGTTCCTAAACACAAAAGGTAGAATTTGGGTTAAAAAATCTAGACTAATTTTTCAGACTCCAATACTCTTAAAAAAAGGGAAAAAACGGGGGATTTCTTTTTTCTTTGTGAAACGGGCCCCTTATCACTGTAATCACCATGTGAAATTAATGAACAGACCTGACGAGAAATATGACAATTATAGAACATTGCCACTGATACTATGTGGGCGTCTATCTCCTAGCTTTATCATATGGACGTGACACAATTGATATGTGTGGCATTGTACTATTGGAGTTCAAATTGTGTGATGGAACGTGCATTGCTCGCAGGGAAGATAGTGCTAGCCTGTAGCCTTGGGAATCGTTGATTAATAAGAATTATATTGATAAGAGTGGTTGCTATCAGATAGGGTAAAGTATATATATAATATATAATACATTAGACTGACTGTTGCAGAGTTAATTTTGGTCGAGGAAGATATTTGAAAATTATTTTCTTCAATTCGATTGTATTGTTAAGTGTATGTGGAAGTGAAGGTTGTATAGAATTTTGTCGAGAAATATTTGAAGGTTATTTCACTGTATGTTCTGCTCATATTTAAGACCTGCTTTTAAAAAAATCAGGTTGTTCGGTAAGAAGAAACTTTTATCCTTTGACGAGACTTGATAAAATGAAGATGACGGGAGAATACTGGCCTGATAGGCGCTAAGACTATCAATATATGGAAGTAAGGCCAGTGTCGTCATCAAAGGAGTACTTTTAAGGTTGCATGAATTGATGCAGGGATAGAGGCATTAATAACCAATTACAGCTGAATTATAATAGGAAAGGCTGGCTGGGATTTTCATATCCATACTACAAGGACAAAGGCAGCAACAGCTGTGGATGCTGTAAAGTGTGGAGACTATATTGAGTGGGGGCACCTTGAGACTTTTATAATAAAGTAACACGTGTGTAGAGAGAGAGAATATTCTGCAGCTCATATCAGAAGTATTGGCAGCAAGTGACCAGGTAACACATTGGCGAGGACCGTCTTCCGTCGCTTCCTGGATCTAATTCCGACCGAAGTAGCATATGAATAGAAGATAATTACACCTGGTTTATAACAGAGACGGAGACAGGAAGAAATTGGTTATCACATAGGGAGCAACGACGAAGTATAGTTTTTTCATGGGTCTTAATGCATCCAATGTAGCATATAAAGCGGAGAGAATTATACCTGGCAGAATTCAGACAAAAGCATTAATAGGTCCAGTAGCACAAGGTGGCATAGATTTTTTTCCTCTGGATTTCGATGTAATGCAATCCATGTATGAATTGGAAGCGTGGAGAGTGTTCAAGAATTGTAACAGCGGATTATAAACCTCAGTTTCTTGGGTCTCTACAAGAGTTGATGCTGATTTAAATCAAAAGATTTGTTATAGTGATAAGAAATCTGTGATAGCGTATACTGAGTCGCGAGTCAGGATTTAGTGGTATGGCTTCTGATAGAGGGTTAGGGCGAGGAGGAGGAGCGGAGTTGACCAATATTGCCAGGATATTTGCTTGGTCTGATAATCCTTCCTTGCCTCTTACAACATCTGTGACTTCTCATGGTGAGTATCTCTCTTTCTCTCTCTCTCTCACGAATTTGTGTTGGATTTTTCAGGTGTGTTGAGTAAATGTGTTGGTTTTGTTATGTGTTATGAAAGTTAGGTGGTTAACCTGCCCCTCTACTTGACTGAATCTCTCTCACACTCTCTCTCTCTCTTGTATTTATGTATTGAATTTTTCGGGTGTGTTGAGTAAATGTGTTGGTTTTGTTATGTGTTATGAAAGTTAGGTGGTTAACCTGCCCCTCTATTTGACTGAATCTCTCTCTCTCTCTCTCTCTTGTATTTGTGTATTGAATTTTTCAGGTGTGTTGAGTAAATGTGTTGGTTTTGTTATGTGTTATGAAAGTTAGGTGGTTAATCTGCCCCTCTATTTGACTGAATCTCTCTCACTCTCTCTCTCTCTCTTGTATTTGTGTATTGAATTTTTCAGGTGTGTTGAGTAAATATGTTGGTTTTGTTGTGTGTTATGAAAGTTAGGTGGTTAATCTGCCTCTCCATTTGACTGTGTGCGTGCATCTGTGTGCATGCGTGAGTAAATGTATTAAACTTCCACTAGACGTTAAGGTCCTCCGTTTTAACCTTTCATTGTAAGGATTAAAAGTGACCTCTTGACTCATTGTCTGCGTGTTACATTACGGTTGCAAGTAATTTTCATAATTTGCGGTGGTCTCTCAGGAAGAGAATGATTAAGATTTGTGGTTTTTACAAGGAAAAAGAAGCACTTTATCTATTACAGAACAATTACAAAGGAATTTTCTTGGTATTTTCTTGTCACTCAGGAAGAGAAAATAATTAAATTCTCTAGATTCTACTAGAAAAGAAGCACTTAGTTGGCAAGGACTGTAGAGTTCACATTCACTAGTAAAGATGAAAGTGAATAAGAAGAAAATATGTTTATTTTATGACAAACAGGAAGAAAAACTTGGAAATATTTAACAGATTATTGTTTTTCTGTATTCAGGAAAGTGATCTACTTATAAAGAAATTAGGGAAAAAATACAGAATACTATTTTTTTAAAAGCTGTTGCATGACCGGTTTCAACATCAGTTTTATAATAGTTTTGTAATTTTTGGGGGTTTTGATTAATTTTACATAAGAAGATAAGCATCAAATTTGTAACTTGTAATTTAGAAGTGATAATGCAACTGAATATCCTTAAAGGGGAAAATAAATCGGTTACTGTAGTGTTAGGAAATTTAGACAAAGCATTTTCTTGGTAAAATCGCTCACAAGCAAGTTGCTATTCAAGATAAAAGACTCCACTTTACACATTGATGGGAGTATTAAAGTGATACTGAAACAAAGCAAAAAAGACTGACATTATTAAACGAAAGATGAAAGTGGTGTGTTAGGAAGAAAAAATAAAAAAAGGGAAAAAATTCAGATTTGGAGCTTTTGTCTCTGGTGTAGTTCAGTTGAAACTGTGATTCTGAAATAAAAAGCAGGTATGAATCTTTGATTGAAACTATATTGAACATGACGGAATCACTTCCTATATTGGGGCAGTAACAGCTGACGGTAACATCTTATTTTTACCAGCTGGTGTATATAGATACTAACTGCTTCTGAATTTTTTTATTGTCAAACATTAAAACACCACTACTGATTAGTTTTCTGCAGTTATGATATAGAGCGTAAATGTGAGCAGGTGCTTTTCTTGAAGGAAGTTTTCACTCTATATATTTCTTTGTGAGCCAGAGATAAAAAATAATATATTTTAGTACTTATAAACAAAATAATTGCTGTTTTCTAACACAATCCTTAGATTAGGCATTTGTGCTCATCAATCTGAGACTTGAGCTAATCCATTAATAAGACCTGGATTTTAGTAGCGAGGAGTCACTTGGAGTGCATTCCCATAGATTTAGAGCGATCCATCTAGATCGACCTAACTCCCTGGGAGTTCACGTTTGTTTGCTGTCAGCGGAGGCACACGGTAGTTAATTACCCCCTTGCAGCTTTTAGTAGGCGGGACAGACATTTAAGCCGGCTAAGATGACAGTAATCTAGTGAGACTCTCCACAGGGATAGATCGATCTAAAATCTGTGGGAATGGGGTCTTGAATAAAGATTTGTTCTACATCCTGAAGCAGAATTTCTCACAGTCTGTGTGTCCAGTGACTAATATCTTCAATCATCACCAAGTTTTTTTTTTGGTCCTAATTTGATCATTTTGGAAGAAATACAGCAGTTTCGCTACCACTTTTAAATTGTGATTGCTAGAAGTCTAAGGCCCCATTCAGAATAGGCGCAATTCAGAATAAATGATCGTATTAACTGATCCACCGACTAAACATGGTCGACCTCACTTCAAAAGCGATGGTCTCCCTGCTTCCACACGTACCATTAATCAGATTAAACCTTGGCTCCAAGGTCTAATTGCGAGGCACCTGCTAAGGAGATGAGGTGACCATCATGGCTTGGCTTTTGAAGTGGGGTCAGCCATATTTAATCGGCGGCTCAGGTAGTACTCGGATGATCTGTTCTGAATAGCCACTTGGGACACTAACTAGTCAGAGGGTCAAATATGGCAACCCACTACAAAGCTTGCAGTCTGACACCCCATTTCCATAGATTAGATCGACCTACTTTAGATCGACCTAACTCCCTGGGGGTTCACGCTAAATAGCTGTCAGCCGGGCTGATACGAAAGTTAATTATCCCCTTACAGCTTGTAGTAGGCGGGACGGACTTTAAGTCGGATTATCTGAAAGTAATCTAGTGAGACTCCCCGCGGGGATAGATCGATCCAAAATCTATGGGAACAGAGCCTAATCCTCTAGTAGACATGATAGATATCCCGTGGGGAAGTATTTAAGTGGGTCGGGCCATATTTGACACTTGGCCTAGTTACTAGTAGTCCCTTATTCTGAATGGGGGGCCTAACACTTTCACTGTCACATGAATTCTAATGTTTGTTATCCATCTGTGTTGAGAACTAGAAATCTAATACCCTCACTGTCATGTGAATTTTAATATTTTGTGTCTGTCTGTGTGTGTTGTAGAAATCTAATACTTTCACTGCCACATGAATTCTAGTATTTTGTACATGTCGGAATATTTTGAAGACTAGAAATCTAATACTTTCACTGTCACATGAATTCTAATAATTTGGATTAGTCTGAGTTTTTTGAAGACTACACGTCTAATACTTTGGCTTAAATTCACTTAAATTCTTATGTGTGAGTGTGTTGAAGATTAGAAGTCTATTATTTTCACTGTCACACGAATTCTAATATTTTCACTGTCACATGAATTCTAATATTTTCACTGTCACATGAATTCTAATATTTTGTATCAGGTTGAGTGTGTTATAGAAATCTAATACTTTCACATGAATTTTAATATTTTGTTTTAGTCTGAGTGTGTTTTAGAAGTCTAATACTTTCACTGTCACATGAATTCTAATATTTTGCACTGTATTTTTAGCGTCCAGTTGGCTCAGTACTAACCAGCCCAGCAGGCCGCCCGATGAATCTCTCTGGCAAGGTATAATTTATATGGATAACTTCTAAGGCCCCATTCAGAATAGAGGACTAACTTGTCTGAGGGTCAAATATGGCGACCTACTACAAAGCTTGCCGTCTGATCCGCTAATAGACACTGGATAGATATCCCGTGGGGAAGTATTCAAGTGGGTCGGCCATATTTGATCCTTGGACTAGTAAGTCCCCTGTTCTGAATGACCCCTAAGGTTACTCTGGGATACAACTAATTTCAGCCAAAGGGCTGGGCCCTGTAACTTGAAAGCATCGCGGATTGCGACCGAGTGTAAGCATCTCGATTCCATTACTCGCTCATAATTGACCCACATGATACAATGTAGCCTCTATGTGATATTGCTTTTCGCAATATGTGATGCTTACGGGTTACGGGGCCTGGATAATTTCAGTTGAAAAGAAATATTTGTGATGAAGTCGTGGCGGGGTGGTATGATTCAATGGATTAAAAACTGAGGCGTATGATTAAAAATATAAAATAGTTGTGAGTATCAGTCTTTAATTTTTTGAAAAAAGTAAAATATTCCTAAGCCAAATTAGAATGTTCAGTTTTTGGCTAAACTTACAGTGCTGGAGTGAGCCTGCTGTTTCTCTAGCCGGGTTTAGACAGAGGCTATTTAAACCCGAAAATGGGCTTTACTTAACCATCAGATAGCCAGACAAAAAAGGTCTGGCTGGCGTTGTGATTGAAGTCTCATCGCAGAGTTGAATCACTTTTTCCACTTGTGAATCTCAGTTTCAGTTTTCACAGTTAGATTTAGCAAAGAGTATTGTAATTATGTGCATGGTGGCTTTGTTAAATTCTGTTTTCGGGTCATCTGATAGTGCTAGTTTAGCCAGTATCCATTTTAAAGCAACCCTGTTTGAACTGACCTTGTAGTAATGACATGGCGCACTTTTTAGATTAAAATCTAGTGGAGTATTACTTAGCTGGTAGTCAAGCTGGTTTTAGATTTTCAATGGGGCCAGTTTCACAAAAAAAAAAAAAAAAAAAAAAAAATCAACCTGGAAATTGGGCTCAAATTGAAAATGGAGAAGAAAAGGAAAAAAAATTAAGATGAATATTTTGGATTAGTGCTCTGTCTTGACACTGTTGTAGTTCTTAGTATAATCTCACAACTTGATGATGAAATCATCTTTATATGAAACCACCACAAAGGAGAATTTTATTAGAATATTGGTCTCTTCTTAAAAACCAAGAATGTGCTTTACTTACGTGCACGATAATTCCATTGTAGTTTGCTTAAAGAAAGTACTGGTCTAAAATATTAGCCATATAATACGGCTCAAAATCGGATTTAGTTGGGACTACCGATTGCTCTTGGTTTTAAGTTGAGTAAAATGTGATTTAAAACTAAGACCAATTCTTTTCTTCTTGCTTCACATCTTCCATGTTAAACGAGCCCCTTGGTTGTTTGCAAGGTCATCCGAGGTTGATGCGTGAAAGTGCTAAGAAGTGTCGCCCGTCTACTACCTTTGATAACCAAAATCAAGATACTGTTGTGACGGCCTAAATTAAGACATTACGTGTTAGTTTTCAGAGACAGATCAATATTTCCCATCTCACGAGTACCTGGAATTAGTTTTGCTTTCAGGGGGAAAGGAATGGGATTTTAGCATGCATTTCATGCTTGTTTCTGTGGTTTGAGAAATGAGAATTTGTCGTGTATCTACGGTAATTGCTAAAAAAATTTGGATGACATGGATTCGTCCAGTGTGTCCCAAACCAATGTTTTTGTGCCTTAAAAGTTTACTGTAAATGTTCAAAAGGTTCCTATGACATGGAATGATTCAATGTCGAAAGATGTATTAATAAGTCTTATTGTTATATTCCTGAGAAGGGGTTTTCCCAGGATTGGGGATACAGCCCGTCCAAATTTAGCACCTGTAATTTCCTACAAAATTTCTGGGATTCTTAATATGCCCAAAGCCATAATATTTCCAAAAAAAGAAAAGAAAAAATCCATAAGCCGTCTAGCTGTCTTTGCAAATTTAGGCTGTCCGGTGACGTTGGTGGCCGTCCAAATAATGGCTAGATAGTCTGCTGGGAAAACCCTTGCTTCTGATTTTCTTTAATAACTCTATATTCACACAGTTTGCACCTCTGTTTTGGACTCTAAGTCTTTCTAGCTGCAAGACTGAAAAGTGCCCCCCCCCTCCCGAAAAAAAAAATTACATAAAAAAAAAAATTAAATTGCTTTTCTATTTTCCCTCAATAAAACTATTATATTATTTCTGTTTTAGCCTCCCAAGGTCTCCCAGGACCGCCGAGTCTCCAGACCACACGGCCTCCGCTAGGAGGAGATAGCTTGCCTTACCCAGGTAATAGCTTGCCGTATCCAGGTAATGTGACCACGAGTTTTACTTTCTATAGAGGCTGGTATAGCAGCGCGAGAAAGCATGCAGAGCAGTTCTCAAATGCTTGGGGTGTGGGTTTCACTAAAGAACTTTAGCCTGCTATTTGGTCTAGGCTTTAGTTCTAAGAGAATTCCACAGTAGTTCAGTGTTGATAAAGTAAGTTTTGCCTTTCTCTTTTTTTAAAGGGACACAGTTATTCATTTTCATTTGAATAAGCATGGATTTATCTTGAATTAAAGTAAAGTAAACTAAATTTTTGGTCTTAAGTTTACACAATTTTTTTTTCGGGCTCAAGCCCTTTTTATGGAGTGTTCCCCAGAGTGTACAGGAAGCCCCAGTGCACCATGGGAACTTGCTGCCCTCTTGCATTATGGGAACTTGATGTCTTAAAGCATTGTTGGAGTTGTTTGCATTGATTGGTTTTCAGTTGGATTAATTTGAAAGTAAATTGGAATTTCCAAGATCATTCTGAAAAAAGAAATTTAAAAAATAGTACTTTTTATTGCCAAAGCAGATTTCCTAAGACATCTTTTATTTCACTGGTCTTATAAAACCTCAGTTTTTAGAAGTTTTGATTGGTTATTGAAACTGAACATATTGGCTCTACATTTCTGCTATCTGATCGCTAAAAAAGCATTAAAATATTTGGAGCTGCTTTCTGCTTTCTTGTGCTGTAGAAAAATATCAGCCTGACATATTGTATGTGTAAATATATATATCTATTATATAACCAATATGCTTGTCTCTTTTATCTCTCCATCTTCAAATACGCACACATATAATCATGCTTTAGAGGGAGCCCCTGTTTGTCGGAATGGAAACCCCCAGCATACCAGTGGGACCCCCCTGGAACTTGGAAGGGCATCCCCTGCAGCTTTCACTGTACGTGTCTGCTTCTTTATGTATTTTCAGCTTCACAGGGATTGGCCGGGCCGCCCGGGTTACAACCCAGCAGATCGAGTTTTGGAGGAGACATTTTAGGCATTTCTGGGTTGCCCAATCTTCCTAATTTGACAAGTAAGGTCACACCTGTGTCGAGACGACATGTGAATGGTTTTGACAATTTTTCTTCTTTTGATGGTTTTGTAATTGTAAAAAATTGATGCAGTTCTTTGGACTGTGTATCTCCTCTGGTTCTTTACTGTTGACATCTTCTGACTGTCTGTGAACTTTATGGCATATGTCAACAGCTAGGACAAAATTATACATCCAGTCTTAAGTACTGTATGCTGAGGAAATAATCGACAAAACTCTTAACTCATGCTTTATTCATGTACCCAGTAAATATGGGTTTGTCTAATTTATCTGGGTCTTCTAGGAAGTGAGTGAGGATAAGAATTGTTTTAAGTTATGTGGGTGCATCTTCAATGGAAACACACCTCTAGAAGAGATGTCTTAGGTTAGGTGGACCCATCTTTACTGGAAACACGCCTTAAAGTAGCGTTTTTGAAATGATCTGTAACACTAGAGATGGCAAAGGTACCTTGAGATCATTATGAATGAACTATGAAACATTTACTTAAAATTGATTTATGCTTACACTTTAACTTGAAAATGATCCAATTTAAAGTAGGCAAAATGTAAACTTTGCAGGGTGTCATGGTACCTTTAAATCATGTGATGTCATGGTACCTATAAGTCATGTGATGTCATGGTACCTTTAGGTCATGTGATGTCATGGTACCTTAAGTTCATGTGATGTCATGGTACCTTTAGGTCATGTGATGTCATGGTACCTTTAGGTCATGTGATGTCATGGTACCTTAAAATCAACAAGTGTAGAATATACGTTCACGTGCACTTAGTGTTTGAACACTGAAATCTTCTGGATGGAGATTTTTGTAAGAAGTCTTGACATAGTTGACTTGTGAATATATGTACTGTAGATATGTATTAACATGTCTAGTATTGTTACTGTTATACTGTCATTGACGTTGTTGCTACTGTTGGTATCATTGGATTTATGTTCAGACTACTTGTAAAAATGATAAAAAGAGTAATGGACCTCCATATATAAAAATCCTGTACTAAGCAGTGGAAGTCCATATATAAGGTTATAGTTACTTTGCTCTCATAATAGGTGTAGCTTTTTTTACAATGGGATCTAAGAAATATTATTGCTGTTGGAATATTGAATTATTGTTTTAGCAAATAAATGAGAAAAATGTTTCCCTTTGTCAGAATTTAGACCAAAGTTTTAGTCTACTTCAGTTCAAGTTAAATTAAAAAACTTCTTACACATCAAGCAAGTTTTAGTCTGAAATGTTAGAAGTTTTCTTGTTATTGAACAGTCATAGCAATTCATTGAATTCTGCCACCAGTATGACTGCATTGTTTTGGAGCAGTTAGACTTAAACTTTGGTCTAAATGCGTAAACCATTTTCAGGCTCCAGATTTTTGCAAACTGGTTCCTGCATTACACTTGTGTGATTTCCCTCCTTTACCTCACTTACGTTAACGTTTATACACAGGTCCACCAGGCCCTCCTGGTCCCCCAGGCCCCCCGGGACCCCCAGGCCACCCTCCAGGGCCCCCGGGGCACATGCCAGGACCCCCGGGACAGCCAGGGGGACTACCACCAGGCCCGCCGGGACCCCCAGGTCCACCGGGACAGCCAGGACCTCCACCCTCTGCCCCAGGACAGCCACCGCCACCGATCGAGTTCACGTGTCCCGCTCGCCCCAATCACGGTGTGGAGGGGCGTCCCATCTTGCTCCGAGCCAACCATTTCCAAGTGCGAATTCCCAAAGGATACATCCACCACTATGATGTGGCCATCACGCCGGATAAGTGCCCAAGGAGAGTAAACAGGTAAGTTTTGAAGTGTGACAGGGGTTTGGTTTTATACAGGTGAAGATACTCTGAATTAACCCAGAAGTCTGGATATTTGGGTGCTAAATCTATGCACTCGGGTCTCCATACCTCGTATATAGCATCATCTGTTCTGAATGCGACTGTAATGTGTTTTCTACCAATAGACCTGAATTTAATATTATGAAAACAGTAAGTATTATTTTAAAAGTAATGTTGTACTATAAAATTTTAAGGAAGATGAAATTAAAAAAAAATGTTCATGCATGGATCACCTGAGCCATATTAATAGAAAGAAGATGACAAATTGATTTTTGTAAATGATGTCATGATCTCTTTATCGTACAGAGAGATTATCGAGACAATGGTGCAAGCGTATCAACAGAAGATCTTTGCTGGCCAGAAGCCTGTGTTTGATGGGAGGAAAAACTTGTACAGCAGAGATCCACTCCCCATTGGCAGGGACAAGGTGAGTGGGCTGGATTTAGTTATAACTGCAGGGGTGGATCCAGATATATTTTCTGACAGTCTTCTAAATTATCTTTGTTGATCCATCCTCCATTTTTGACAGTCTTTCAACAATAAAAATTAGATACCCGTCAATGTAAACTTGAAAATCTGACCGTCTTCCGGAAGACCCAGAAGATGACCTAACTGGACTTGTGGTATTATGTAGATTGTGATTCATCTGAGACTATCCTAAATCTAGTAATTTGATGAAAAATAAAATAAAATAAATATATTATATCAGTGTTCTATATTTATCATTGTTATATCTCATGTAAATTTGGTTGATTATTTTCATTTTTGCTGGTTTAGCTAAAATTTCGTATCTCAAGCTCTTTGGTTGATGTGCATAAAGTTTAAAATCTGACAATTTTTTTTCCCAACCACCAGGTGGAGCTGGAGGTTACTCTGCCAGGAGAGGGCAAAGATCGCGTGTTCAAGGTTTCCGTGCGCTGGGTCGCTCAGATCAGTTTATTTGCCTTAGAGGAGTCATTGGAAGGGCGCACTCATCAGATTCCCTTCGAAGCAATTCAGGCTCTTGATGTGGTCATGCGCCATTTGCCGAGCATGACGTAAGTTTTGTTTTCCAATAGATTTTTTTAGAATGCTTGAAATGAAAAAAAAAAAAAAAAACTTCTTATGGAAACAATAAAGAGGTGATTGAAAAGAAAACAGAATTTCATATATTTTAAAAAGTGGTTAAAAATATAATTTATTTCTTACGATGCTTGACATGGTTTTTTATGTGTGAATCATGGTGTTTGGACTTTCTTTACCATAAAGTATTGAGACACATTTCAGTGTATTTTATGAAGTTTTCTGTAAAGGTGATAGAAGGTTTTACATTGTATTGAATTATCAAAATGCTTGTATGAATTTGTTCATTCANCACCCTCTTCTTTACATCTTTTGCTGAATGCAATCAGAGGTGCAGGCACTTTCTGTATTGTATTAGGCTGTGCACAATCTATCCCTCCATCTTTAATTTCTTGGGTACCAAAGTAAGTAGTTGTGAAGTTGGGAAATAGTCCATCCAATAACAACACATAGTAAAATTTAACAAATACTGTTGTACACAGCCTGCTGGTAAGCAACACAAAATATGACGTTAATGTCTGTGAAAGCTACACAGTGCATTGGATGAATGGAGTTATTTTAGAAAATCACAAACGTAAAATATCAGTATCAGCACCAAGGAACAAATTGAATGAATTACCATAACTGGAAGAAATATGGAGGAAGCAAATGCTAAATAGGAAAAAAACAGGCAGGAAAAATATATTTACGTCATAAAATGCAAATCAAAAGCTTCAAAAGTGAAATAATAACAAAAAAAACCCCTACAACTGTATACATTGTATGCCAGCACTTTGAATAAAGAAACAGTTTATAGTAAATATTGTTTTCTAATGTTTATTTTTTTGGTCATACCTTTCAGCAAACCCCCAATTCTCATTTGTACATACTACAAAAGGTTCAGTATATTTTTGTACTTATAGCACCAACTTCCACCAACTTTTGTTTTTCCTCGACCTTCTTAGTCTTTATGGGATTTGTCAGTTTTTACCAACGTGGCTTAGGTCTTACATTTACCATAAACACAATGTCTGTACCTTCCTACTTTGTCATCGCACTTAATTGTGGATGCTTTTAATGGATGTTCAAAGTAAAAATGTTAGAAAATCTTCTAGAGTCTTGGTCTGACAGGGATCAGTCCAACAAGTTAAAAAGAGCAATGTATATGCATCAGTTAAAAAGCCCTAATGGACATTGCTAGAGAAAACGTATCAACAAATAGTAACACTAAAACAAACATGGAAACAAAAAACGAGTTCATTGATATTATTACTGTGCACCCTATGAGTATTAATGGTAGTAGCTGGACAAATAAGGTTCCCACTTTACCAAAAGAACTGTACTTACATAAAGGAAAAATGTAAAATTAAATAGACTGTAGCTGTTTAGAAGTTATCTATTGTGTAAAGATAAATATGTTGTCATACTGGTATATAAATATAATTATTAATATTTATTTCAACTTGAAGTGAGAAAATACCATGTCATATTATGTCTTTATAATTATTGCTTGTGTTTAATGTAAATTTACTTGTACATAGTCAAAGCAAATAGATAATGTGTACATATAGTTGGTTTGTATAAAACCTAGAGTACTTGTAATTTAATGGTAAATATGAGGACATATTTAGAAGGGCCCCAGGGATGTGTCATACTTGTAATTTAATGCCTTAAGTGAATTTTCAGTTTTCTCAACTTTTCATTGAAATAGCAACTATAAATATGATCAACTCCATTTAGTTCAATCTAATTTCCAGAAGTTTATTAGGTTGTTATATAACATTAATTATATAGATGTGCGGGTTAAATGTTTTCAGGATGTGTACTTACATAATCAGTTTACAGGTCAAGTTTAAATAAGTCTGTTTAGAGTCACACTAGGTAACTCAATTAAACAAGAAGCAATGTCTTTGATTAACAAATACATTCACCTCAAATGTATTTAGGAATGGTCCTCTGCCTTGTAACTATATTATTCACCTTGATCAATCAGTTTAAGTTATCAACCTATTGTCCACTAGCAGAAGCCATTTAGGACTCAGTCTGGAAGTGTTCTCTGTCACATGTGTAATTGAATTAAAGTGACCACTCTGGCAACCCACCTGGCTGGGAAGCCAATGTAACGTAATTATATATGTGAAGGTATATAAACAGAAATAAAGGTAGAAGTCAGTAGTCAGTACTCAGAGAGAGAACACTGCATACTGATCTCTAGAAAGCAGAACATGACGTTATGTTAGATGCAGGTGATAAGAGTTTTACTCAAAAAGTGTGCATTGTTATGGCACTGATATTAAGTGTTTTAATTATTTTACAAAATGAAAAGAAAGATGGGCCTTATAAGGGTGCTTTCCCAGAGATTTAGATTGATCTAAAGATAAAGTTTTAGATCAAACTAACTCACTGGGGGTTCACGCTAAATTGCAGTCATCCGAGTGGGCACCATAGTTAATTACCACAGTTAATTACCCCCTTACAGCTTTTAGTAGGCGGGACAGACGCTTTAGCCGGCCAAGCTGACGGTAATCTAGTGAGACTCCCCACAGGGATAGATCGATCTAAAAATCTATGGAAATGGGATGTTAGACAGCACATGTATAAAAGCAATAAGTTTTGTAACAGACTTACCTCTTGGTTAGTACTTTTTTTGTGTCTGATGCATATATTCCCTATAGTATTTGGTTATAATTATGTCAATATGTTTTGTCTTATATTTAGGAACATCTATGTCATCTCCTCATGTGGTAAGTGAACTTCTGACATCGCATTTTACACACATTTTATGCCTATACTTGCTCTGATTATGTGAAAAATCTCAGTACTAATTATTTCTATATATCCAGATACACACTAACATTTTGGGAGAATTTTCTAAACACTCCAAGTTGAAATCTATAATATTTTCATAGGCTGGTGTTGCAGCTGTGCTACTGTCTGAAGATAATGACTTAACACCAGAGGAACTGGCCAATACACTGAAAGAACTTGGGTATGTGTACATTGCTAACACAAAATGTTATCACTCTTTTGCTAGACTTAAGCTGACTGCATTCCAGCTTTTTGCAACTTGGTATTGATATTGGTTGAAAAGTATTTATTTTGATTTACAATGAATAACTGTTGGTATACATAGAGTGAGTGGGGGGGGGGGGGGGGGGGGTGTTTGAATTTTTTAGAGAGTGAGAGATTGATTCACAATACAATAATACGAACAATACATTAATAGGCATAGTCTTAAAGTCATAATAACTCTTCGTTTTGGCCAAAAATTGGATTTTCCTGGCGTAAACGGCAATTTTCCCGTACTTACCAATGGTCAATGACCCCATCCCTGCATTCAAAGTTTGTCCAGGTTTTTTTTCCTAAACGCTTGGTTTTTAGTTAAATTCTCTTAAGAGATTTTAACTGACGGAGCCCTCTCTGACATGGCATAGTCATGCGATATCGAGCGGGGTTTTCTGATGACCTACTTAAAACCACGGGAAAAGCAGACAACAACAACAGTTTATTACAATAAAATAAGATTCATACGATATAATCGTCTTATTGCTCAGAATGCATGTATATCTACAACCTGGGCTATTTGTTATCCGACACACTGTACAGAAACTTGCAACTTACGTCTGAGGATTGTGTCATGCGCCTGCTATATCTTATCCCGCCACATGTTATTTTGGTCTCGAATGCACGCAAGAATCCGCGTGATGCGCAAACATCCTTGGCAACGGATGCCTTGACGACCAGGAAGAAAGGCATCGAAAGCCCTATTGACAAGTAGAGCTTTTAGTTTTACTACAATAACGGCTGTTTTAGTGGTAAAATGCAATAGAATATATTTTCATGCGTTGTTTACAATGTATTTCTTGCGGAATTTTGAATCTCAAAGGAAGAGTTATTATTGCTTTAAATGAAGACTACCTTTAAATAATGTAAGATGACTCTTTCTATTGCTCACTGACAAATCACTACAAATCCCTCCCAGTCCAAATAAACAAAGATGTCAAGTGCAGTTGTCCCTATGATTCTGGCCAATCAGAGTTGGATGAATACCACTTGTAGCAAAGAAATGGCAAAGAAATTGAAAGAAAAAAAAAGAAAAAAGTTGATATCAAAAACCTATTATTTAATTGATATTTGTTTTTTTGCTTTGTAATTGTCTAAATTATTAAAACATGCTTCAATTTTCAGAAATTTGTTGTTCTGTACAGATATATTGTTATGCAGGTATTGTAATTGACACTTAAGTATTGATTTTATCTTTCAGTGCTAAAAACCAGATCAGTAACATTCCAAGCGAAACAGTAAATCTGTTGCTCTTCAATGACTGTCAGCAATAAAATCTGCATCAAGAGGATGAAACTTACTCATCTAATTCCATTTCTTTGGATTTTGCAAAATACGTTGCATTATGGAAGGAAGCACAAAAATTCATAATCAGCACTGTTGCTCCATTAACAGGATTGTTATACAATTTCTGTAATATCAATTCACCATAATGATGTTGAAATAAATCAGAATTAAGTATATTACTTAGGCGAAAAAATAAGTCCTAATGATTTGGCATTAGAGAGGGCCAAAGGTGCTCTTATTATTCGGAAACTGTGAACACTTTCTTTGTAATTTGAATGTTGTATAGCACACTAAAATGAAAATAACTTTCATCCCTGAATAAAACACGAAGTCTGTATAACTTCTTAACTAAAAGCAAGGTTTTTAACAGGATAAATCAAGTTGGGATGAATCACAACTACAAATATACAGGTGCTGCATTTAGAAAACACATGCTTAGAAAATAATAAGATTAACTACTATAGTTGATATTTATTGTGCAATTCATGGCCTTATAAACAAAACTGATTTTTTTCTGGCTTCAGGCTTGCGATGAGGAACACTGAATTACTGACATAAACTCCAATTTCATATTGTGAGCACCATTTACTATTCACCTTATCATTGGTCTTTCATATTTGTAATAAATAAAGAGGAATCAAAGTGCATTTTAGTGTCTTTATTGTACCCTGAGTGTCAGAGCAACATAAAAGCTATAGCTTGTT